AAAGTTCTAATCTTTCTATTTTAACTATGTTTTATAAAGAAGAAACAATCAATGTGTCAAGATAGTCTGAAATGTAAATCGTTTTCCCACCTTCATACCATTTGATACAAAATTTCAAAATAATTAACAAAACATTCACTTTGAAGGCATTTGAATAAATCATATCTTTTAATTTCAGCTAGTACAATCGTTCTGTCCAAAAGGTTGCAAATGTAAAGCGTATGGATATTGTTATGGTTGTGAAATGGGATACTATACTACATGATGCTGGATGGGACATGTAAGAGTTGCCCTGAGAATTGTCAGTCTTGTTCCTCTGTAAACAAATGTGATAAATGTGATGTTGGATATTATATAGACTCCTCATTCTCATGTCGCCCATGCTCCAATGGTTATACAGATTGTTTAACGTTGAATACATGTTTACAATGCAATACTAGGTGTATGGATGTACTAAATGTACATCGCCATGTAAAACATGTACATCCGAATATAATTGCATTACATGTAATGATGGATTTAAATTAAACGGTACTTCTTGCCAAAAATGTCCAGAAGGTTATTTTGAATCCAGTAATTCGTGTACTCCGTGCCCAAATAATTGCGCTTCTTGTTTGATTTTGATTGAATGTACAAAATGTAAACAGGGATCGTTCGGAAAAAAATGTGATCAAAGGTGTTTTTTGGGGTGTAAAGACAACGTGTGTGAACAAAATACTGGTAATTGTGTTTCCAAAGAAAATTATGCTGGAAACAATTGCAGTCTTTGTAGGCCTTCTAAATATGGACAATACTGTCACCGTGACTGTCCAAAAGGATGTTTAACGTGTGCTTCAGATGGAGGTTGTCTCTTGTGCAATGCTGGTTACATCGGAATAAAATGCAACTGTTTAGATGGTTGTTATGGCAACAAATGTGACAGATTCACAGGAAAGTGCAATCAATGTAAACCGTTTTTTAAATGGCCTTGCTTGGAGTGTGTGGACGGCAAATGGGGAAAGAACTGTGAAAAAGATTGTTCAGATAAATGTCTTTCGTGTATATCGGATACTAACTGCACAAAATGTAAGGATGGAAACTATTTTTCAGATGGGAAATGCCTGGACTGTTCCACCAATTGTCAAAATATCTCATGTAATGCAGAGAGCGGCGTTTGTAATTTCGGTTGCAATCAAGGTTATTGGGGAAAATTTTGCGATAAACATTGTCCAGATAATTGCTTTCAAAACAAGTGCAACGTAGAAAATGGAATGTGCATGCCACGGTGTAAAGACCATGATAAAGCATGTGATAAAACTGTTCAATGTGTGGATGGAAAATGGGAAAGTCGATGCGAAGAGCAATGTTCAAAGAATTGTTCATATTGCGACAGTGAAACAGGACATTGTCTACAATGCAAACAAAATACTTTCTACGGTTCCTTTTGCAATCAAGAATGCAGTGAAACATGCATTGACAGAGTATGTAATTTTGGGAAATGCAAGTACGGTTGTAAAACTGGATATTACGGAGAAAGTTGTCAAAACGTTTGCAGCAAATCTTGTTTCAAACAATGTGATGCAGTTTTAACTGAAGCATCTTCGCAAGGTATAACTCTCGATCAAACTTATATAAAAACACTTATTGATTTAAACTGAATTATTGAACAATTTTATGAGTAAGTTAAAGTAATGGTAAGGCCTGGTAATCTTACTGGTATTTTACTAATTACTTTTCTTTTATTATTCATGAAAGTATTTTATACATGTGTATGTTACTTATGCAACCACCTTATACATAGGAACTTCATACATGACCTGTGAAACGGTGGTTATAATCAAAATGTCAAAATCAAAACGGCCGCGTGTATCTTCTGTAAAAAGCTTGTTTATATTGTTTACTTTATTGAACTTTCTTATGACAGTTACATTAGTTTACCATATACCGTATAACATTTATAAGAATAAAATGCATAAGAAAATTGCGTTTATGACGTTTATTTTTTTAGTGTGCTATAATTTACTAAAAGATATGTAAATGTAATCTATTTTGTACCGTTCAAAATTTCATTTTATTGTTTGCCACGTTTCTTCATTATTAGATAAGGAAAGGTTTGTGTTGAAATCTGATGATACCATTAATCTGCTGCTATTCGTTGCTGTAGTCGGGGTATATGCAATTGTTATAACTGTTGCCCTAATCAGAAATCGGTAAAATACATTTTATACTTTAGATATTTTTTATAAGAGATGCAAAAAAAACAACAACAAGTTAATTCAACATTAAAATAATTCCAAGATGAAAGCACACGTTCAGTTGATATATGAAATAACCATTTCCTTGTGTACCTAATAACGAAACACAATTGCACGTTAATGCTGCATGCCTTCAGATAAGCCAAAATGTTTCAAGAAAATCATACTTAAGAAAAATGTACGTGAGGAAAATGTACAAAGATTTTAAGAGGAAAACAAGGATTCAAGTACTAATCAGCATTTGTCATCACTGTTTTGCTGGCTGCGTTAAAAACGTAAGAGTCGTTTGCAATGTATGAATTACTTCATTTTATACTTTTAAATTATAATATTTTATTTTTAAAAACTTTTTCAAACTTGCCATGAAAAAAGCATGAATCTGGGGACATGCTGCTTAATAGGTGTCATAATAATTTTTTATCTTTAGTTGTCTTCATTGCCGTAAAGTTAGTTTGGACTATAAATTAAAATTACACCGTTGTGACAAATTGAAATCCTTTTTACTTCTATGAGAATTGTGTTTGACCTATATATTATTAGTTATAAAAAATTGAAATAGCATGATACGGCCTAGTACAAAAGGCTGTCAATATAAATAACCTAAGTCATTTTAACAATGCTATATGCCTTATCATATATTCATAACGTATTCATAATACTTTGATTAAACAATAAATAATTGTATAAGCGTTTTATAATAATAATTATTTTCTTTAATTTTTTGTTTTACCAGCATTAAACAAAGACGTGAAGGTGAATTAAATGAAGACTCGGGAGAATTCGCTGAGAATGAATATGAACCTACAGCAAGTAGAAATGCAATCAACTCTGGTAATAATTAAAAATTGAACTTGAATATTTTTTGCAAATGTTGTATATTAACTGAAAATGCCAACATTTTACAGCCACATAAAAAAAGAAAATATACTAGTAATGATTTTCTTAATTATTTTTACATATGCACTTGACATGTTGTAGTTGAAATGTTTTGAAACATTTTCAGACGATTTTACTGTAACCATCAATGCATTGATATAACAGTTCAACCACAGATGAGTTTAACAAGTACAAAATGAACGGGTCCTGAATATAAATGAAAACTGTTTCAATGATTAAACCATTGTTCAGAAACATCTGTCTTTTTGTAAATATATGTATTATTAATACCAGTTAATGTCCTTATTGTCATCATTGCTCAACCTGTTTCAGAATATATCAAAAAATTAAACTGTTTCTTACGTTTATCTATTGTTAACAACGGAAATTCATATGTATGTCTCATTCAAAAGAGTGTTAGTCATTTTATTGTATGCTAGATCAGCGTGGAAAACAGCAATTCTACTTTCCAATAGAAACCAGGGTTGCTTTTACGTGTTAAGATGTAAAGCATTAATACATAAGATATATGTTCACAGCTACATACGATCTCTTCTAATCAAGCCCGAATTACATGAAACATTGATACAAGTTTTCTTCTTATCAGACATTATTTGTACTCGAGGTCACGTGTTCTCTATACAACCTTTAGTAGGAGAGGTAAACAGAAAATAAACAAATTTTGGCCTTTTAACCACCACCAGTACAAATTTTCTTATATGTAATGTAATACGGAAGTGCTATGTATGTAATATGAGTTTGTATATATTCTCCAGACCACATGTATGCTATACCGGAAGAAACTACTAGTGAGTGTGTGCCATTGGGTATCCTAGAAAACACTGACACGTTGCCTAGCTACAACTCAACCGAAGATATGAATATGTACACCAATCCTGTTTATGCTGATACCAAAACCACGAATGAATATGAGGAGGTTGTTTAACAAGACTCCTTCGTTCTATAGAGGCATGCATTTTTCATTTTGTTTTAAAAGGCACGTACATTATGCCTCAAAAACAAATAATTTTTTACTTCTTTAGAAAGGGACCACATGAATTTTATTATGTTAAAAGAATGTTAGATGCTTGCTGCCAGAAGAAAATAGCAATTAATGTGAAATTATTTGCCTAAAAAATAGCAAACTGTAAACAAAGTTAAATTTTGACCTCCGTAAAAAATCGAGGGGACGTATTGGCCAGAACGGACTATGAAGAATATGCCTGGGACATTCTGCAGAGGCGAATTAAAGCCCGGATGCCACAACTGTCAACAAGGATTTAGCTTGTCAACGCTCTTGTTCAGAAATGGACATTGATACCACTTGCTGACATCCGGACACTTATCAGCTTTCCGGACCCTATACAGGAATTGGCCAGGAATAGTGGAGGTCACACTCACTATTGAAGCAATGTGTACGACAGAGGAATGACAATCTAAAAACTTATTACCCCACCCATCACCTTAAACCAATAAACATTTTTGGTCAACAAAGAGATAATGGATTAGATGGAATATATGTTTTTGCCTGAAATGAGTCAGTGAATATTGGATTTGTTAATGCATATACTTTACCAAATGTTAATGAATATCTTTATATTACATATACATATAAATTGTATGACCCTTATTTTGTTTTCATTATTGCAGATAATAGTGTATTGAATAAATTATGAGTTTTTGAGCCGACAAAAAATATTTATGATTTGACCATTTCTTCAAAATTTCAATACTATTCCGAATGTTAATTTCAACAAAATTTGCAGGAATTATATTTAAAAAAAATATTTATCAGCCCTTTCTTCTGACGCAGGCTATTATACTGTCAATTTCACGCCGTGCATGCACACTACTAGAATAACTGTGTTATGCGGGTCCCTGAACATCCTAAAAAACCCCTTCCAGTTGCGAGCTACACTTGGAGGAAAGATTCGTTGCAGGTTGTGAATGTTAACAAGCATGCCCCCATTCGTGAACATCCACGTGTTTTCGATAAACATTACGGTCACAAATCTTTATGAAAAACCACTCTGGGCAGTTCCAAATTGTAGAAGCGTTGCATCTGGTCCAAGATAGGCAAAGTCCAGTGTCGAGTCATTGTACATTTCATTACATTAACGAAAACTTTTTGCCTATACAATCTCTTTCTTCATACACCTTCCATCCCGTTAGCTTCGTTAATCATTCATCTCTGTTTAACAAGTTTTATTGGAGACCTATTCTTAACAATATATGGTTATATATTCTCTACTTTGTACCACTTTTATACGAAACTCGCCAATTTCATGCTTCTTATTTGCATCATTTAATTGCATTGCCCTTTTTCACAAACAGATATACATTGTTTATTTTGCCAGGATATTAACACGGATATATATAACACTATCAGTAATATAGATCCCTGATATTGCATAGAACAATTTAAATGTATTGCGCGTTTCGCTTTAATGTGATTATTGTAGAATGTGGTTACTCAAACACTTGAAAGACATGTAGCGGAATGAATGTCTTGTAATGGAAACGTTGGTTTAATGACATTATTATATATTTTTCCTTACAAAAGCAATTTAGTCTTCTACCATACAATTATTCAATTTGATATATATCAGTTTTACATTAATATTTAGAATTCAAAAACTCGTATCCTAATAAACAATACCCGATAATATTCGTGTTTATCTTGGCCTATGATAGCATTATTGTCTTGTATATCGTATGATTTTAAGGCAGAATACAAATAGGCAGACTTATTTTCAACAAACTGTATATTTTGTTACTTTACGCACAATTAATTTTCATTATTGATCAATAATATCATTTTGCCACGAGTCACATTGGGTCATGTACATTGTAAACTATGTAAAGAACTTAGATAATAAAAGATAACAAAACTGACTTGAATTTGGTCAATTTTATACAGTGAATATTTTAGCTATAAAAACCTGTTCCATCATACATGAAATAGCAATTTCAACGAATAAATTACATAATATGAAATCAGCAATTTACAAAATGCATTAACTATGCATTCCGGAAACCCAAGGATCTGTTACAAATCTTGCATCGGGCTATACGATTGGTCAATTTTAAATTACAATTTGACCAAACATATTTTGCATTGGGTTATACGATTGGTCGATTTTAAATCTATCACATGCTGGTATTTTTAGTATTAATTATTATTGGCCGAATCTACGAGAGTAATGCCCTTTTTCAAATGTTACGAACGAAAAAAATAATCTTGAGATGGAAAGGAAGCACATTAAATTGTTTCTAAGCTTATAATATTCCATCACCATTCTACACATACTAACTGGCTACTCATTATGGAACATGGAGTGATCATTTGGAGTGCACATAAGGAGTAAACTTATGGATTAGAGGAAAACACTGTGTTGATAGTTAGATCTGGTTTTGTATGGGGAATGTAAAAAAGGTCAGATCATTAGAATTCAAGGTAATAACTGATGAAGCTACTATTTACTTCATATGGTACTCTTCAAAAATTAAGAAAACTCAAATTACCAGAAATTGTTACAAATAGTTACCTAGCAGTAGTGGTACATTGTATTTACTACTACTAGATTCATCTATAAATGATTTCAATCATTATAATTAAAAGGTATGAACAACTAAGTTTTATGTTAACAATAATTAAATACTCATTTTGATTGATCAAATTTCTATTAAAGAAAAACTATTTTCAGGTCAGATCTACTCCAGACAAAAATAAATCAGGATAGACTGACCAAAATGGCCACTTATGAATAAGCAGCTGTTGTTTTTATCAACATTAATACAATTCATTACTTTTAATTTCTTGACTGAAACATTATTTTATAATTCTATGGCACTGGTTACTTGTAGCTATCCCTACATTTTCTACAATATTATTTCACTTACTACCATTCAACAATCGGCTATCATTCAACAACAAGTCATTGTGAAGTTCAACGACCCCTACTTGTTACCTCATCCCCATTATTTCAATTTTGCCTCCCCTTTTTAATGTCTGACATTCGAATTGTTGAAAATAAATATCATTAGGAAATGAAATAAAAAGAAATATGTAAGACACATTTAGAGGGACAATAAAGATCAATGCATGTATATGGATAATGCTAGGGTATGCAGGTACATCTTTGTGTAAAGACGGTACATTACCAGTCTATCGAAATACGGGTGCACTTTGTTGACAGAACTAGTAACTATACATGATATATGACATAACATGGTCTTTTGAGAAAAGTTTTGTGATTTTTTCCCCAGATCAGTTTAATAACATTAAATCAATTTAAACCGGCAAAATAATTTGAAAGTAAAAAAATAATATTGTATCATAATGCAAGAGCTGTCAACCACAGTTGCTTTTTGTTCTTGCGATTAAAGGGATAAATTCAGAAAAACTCCATGCTAGACTTATGTGTCTTGACCAGAGATCTTAACCTTCAGTTGTAAATAAGAGTGAGCAAAAACCTTAACAATCACCAGCTTGGAAAGCATCATTATTTGTTGAATAATGGAGCATAAATGAATGCTTATTCTTTCTATAAAAGCTTCTCCCATCCTACACATGCACATTCCGATCAAGGGACAAAATATTTGACGCCATCTTTTTTTTTAATTTATAAAACAACCAGAACTTGTATAATTCTTACTTGTAATTATTATTATAAAACTTTTGACACACATCTGTACATCACATTTGTACATCAGTAAAGCACATATCAACACAAAGACATTTTCATGAGTCACTTTACAATACAATGAACTATAATTCCTAACTTACTTTGTCATAAAGTACATGGTTAACGAAATTGAGTCTGCAAACCAGTCTGTCTCAGCTATCTTATAAACCATTGGTTAAATTACAATCTAAACATTGGAATCATCCAATCAAATGTTTTTGGAGGTATATTTTCGGACTGATTTAGTGTACTTTTACTGCTTTATTTAGAATCTTTATTTATTATGCAGTCAGTAAGCATATTACACAAACATCTATTTCATAAAGAAATCAAGAATTTTGAATAAACAATGGTTGTACAAAATTGATAAAGACTGTTTCACAATGACTTACATGAACATAGCTTCACTTACATGAATTATTCAGTGGTATCCATGCTTGAGTTATGAGACTTGGTCAGTGACCTACAATCATTACATGGAGGACATAGGAAAAGTTTAAACGTGAAATCCTTTTACATTTAAGTTTTGTGTCATACCTATTTCATTTAAGAGTTACACCTACGCCTATCAGACTTATGCAAGCACTTAAGCTCTCTTTCCCTGGAACATCCAGCTTAACATAGATCAGTTAAAAATGAACTGTTTAAGACCCCTTGTCTATTGCAGCAAACATATCAAACAATACCAATACAATTATGTCTGAACAATGGAAAAAATATGAAAGTCATCAAATAAATAATGAACATACAAAAACATGACTTTCTAACCTGATTAGTGGTTTGACTTTTCTTTAAACAATTACATTGCACAGTATTTATCTGCAATTTTTTTTAATTTCTATAAATATTTTTCTCACAAACAACAAAAAAAATGAATAATGAATTATCATAGAAGTAGAATAATAGTTGTGTTTCCTTTTATAAGCACAATGAATGACAGACTTCCATGAATTAACAATGACTGATCTATTACAATTCACAACAAAAATCCTTAAAGCAAGACAGAGTTCCCCGAGTCCTTTACTTTTATACAACCAGAAGTGGAACTTATGACTATTTAACAATGAAAAATAACTTACTTTTCCTTCCCTTCTATCAAAATAACAGCTTATTTGAAATAAAAAGGTCTGATAAATGTACACACCACTACTAAGCACTTATAATAGCAAAATAGACTAACAAATATAATTTAGCACTCATTATCTGTATATAACCATTCCATTGCATAGGCATAAAAACGGGGAAATCATGCACGTACAATGTATATGTAATGAAAAACATTTACAACTTTAATAAATTATAGCCTTTCCGTTCATTGCGGACTGAAAAAAGAAGTTCTTTACAACAGAAATGATGAGGACAAAGTACAGATTTGAAGAACATCTAGAGTATGAAAGGCAAAGAATATAGGAGAACTAGGTAGAAGAGGGCTGTTTTAAATGATAGAATGGAAGATCACAGAAAAAGAGCAGGAATGAAAATAGGTTGTGAGGGACCTATAACATAGTTTACTTACAAAATATATCATACAATAAATTATTCTAAGAAAACTGCTAGCACTATATCAGTATATCTGTGGTCAACATGTATGAAAGAACTTGATTTTATATTATTCTTCTACAATATGTTTTAATAAGTATTTAACAAGTGTGTACAAAACAAGCAAACAGAAATCATTAACAAAATAAGTTTACATTCTCTGACTAAAATCTTTGTTTTCTGTAACACTTGTATTAGCATACTAGCACTGGTTCAGACAAGAGTCAATGTTCAGAATTTCTTTTAGAAATCCTGTACTTAGCACTTTAAAGGCACATTATGCCTAAAAAATCCATTCTTCAGAAAGGGGGCGTCCGTGGCCGAGTGGTTAAGGTCGTTGACTTCAAACCACTTGCCCCTTACCGCTGTGGGTTCGAATCCCGACAGGGACTTTGGATTCTTTTATGTAAGGAAGCTATCCAGCTAGCTTACGGAGCATCGGTGGTTCTACTCAGGTGCCCGTTCGTGCCTGAAATAATCCACGGAAGGGCACCTGAGGTCTTCCTCCACCAGTGAAGCTGGAACGTCGCGATATGACCTATACTGTGTCGATGTGACGTAAAACCCAATAAAACAAACAAAAAATCTTCAGAAAGGGCAAGCATGAGTTTTATAACTTGTCAAAAACTATTTTTACGCGTGCAGGATTTTTTTCACCGAAAGAAGGAAGATCTGAATGTAACATTATTTGTCAAAAAGTAGCAAAATGTAAACAAAGTAGCATTTTGTTTTCTATACAAAATACTAATTCACTAAGATAGTACTAACTGCCAAAAGCAAAAGATTGTACAGTTAATTGGCCATGCAAGATAGACCTGTTCTGTATAAATAAGGCTCAGTAAAGATCTACAATATTTTGTACTTCTTATATCATGGCTTACATATTTTATGTTATGAACAAATAAAAAACAACAGAAAACAGAAATACTGATGGTATTGCAAAGTGGATAGTCTGCTAAAGAAACAATGAATAAATATTGCCCGAGCTCTGACACAATAAACAAAATCATAAACCCAAATATTGGGCAATACAGAACGTTTAACAGAAACTTTCTTTCAACAAGAAATCAACACATAATATCATATCACATTAAACTGTTTTCTTAGTGCAATATTCAAAGCGTTTTACATCCACACCATAATGTTCAGGAAGGTGATATTTGGCAAGAGGAGTTACAGTACAATGCCTCTAATCTCACTCGAGGAAAACATTTCTTCATCGTACCCAAATGTTCACAAAGTCTAACTGTGCTCTAAGTAAGGTATTGCATTTCATTTTGATTAAGTAAGAGTTTTAGCTTTTAGCCATCATTTTGATCTTTTCTGGGCGTGCTTTAAGTTGTGAAACATTTGCTAGGTTAGACTGTGAGGAAACTGCCGCTGTTTACTGCTGTCATCTTCATTGCTATTATCACCAAGAAAATTTAGGACATAGCTAACAATGACCCAGATCGATCATAAGGTAACGTGTAAGCAACGCTGAAAAGCCCCCATCCCCCCACCCACCCATCTTTCTCAATCCATTGAAAAGTTGCCGCACTTTGAAATCAGTTTTGATGGGAAAAAAACAATGCAAAATAGTGATTTTTGGCAATTTTGAGACGTCCCCCGTTGCCATGGTATCAAGAAATCTAAGATTGAGCAAGAAGTTACAGAGGCTATGGTCCAGTCAACATTTATGCCAAGTTTCATCAGTATTGAAGCATTTTGCATAGTTTCATAGCGGTTTGAACTTATAGGAGGCTATTTAATGAAAACGGCCATTTTTCACAATTGCTCATGCGGTCAAATGTTAAGCTGCTCCCAAATCAAATTAAATGTTCTTTATTTATGAGTTGAAAGACATCGTATATGGTTTAGCACTCAATCTTACCTTCTTTAACCTTCTTTTATCACTATGATGGTTTTGCTGATAATTAAGTATAAGCATACTGTCTTTTCCAGCTAAAACATCACATTCAATAGGACTCCAGTATAAAAGTAAGTTTCACCGATGAGTGACAGCTATATGCGTTACATTATATTTGAGGCATCTAAAATGAAAATTATATTTACATTATCATCATTATTTACCGGTATATGTTTTCCACAATTGTTCTGATTTATTTTTCTTCCTTTTACTCACTCTTGACGGCAAATATGTACAATGAATAATGTAAAGATAAAGTCATGCGAATATTATTTGAAACAAACAAACTAATTTGATCCACGGCAAGATCATTTATAAATTATATAACAGTATTTTGGAGTACATTGCCACATAGTTTTGCAGGAATGTTAGTCATTAGTCAAACAGGGCTTGCTCACTTACAATCTAAAGTGTGTATCTTTACTTATTATTACAAATATTCATTAAATCAGACAGACGCGAGTTTCTTGTTTAACTCAGCATAGTTTACGCATATAAAATAATGTGTACATCTTGCAAGGATAAGGCCATTACGTTAAGTGATTAAAGGTCAAAGGGATAATAAACAATACACGATTTCGTCTTAATTTACTCATTAAATTAAGTTTTAAAAAATGCACACATTAACGATTATTGAGCAGGTAAGTAATTTCACTTACATCAAAGTTATTCTCTTATAAAACCTTCTGAAGTAGTTTAATATCTTATGGACACAGTATGTCGTCAACAGTGCGGATTGCATATTTAGCCGTTAGCATACCATGAATTCAATTCCAGACGGAGACGTTGAATATACATAAAAAGCCAACAAGTCTATCTTCAGTTTACGGATTCTAGCAAGATAACCACTTGTGCACAAATAATAGAAAGAGTTTATATCAATTAAGATATCAAGCTCAAACTATGCAACATCTTTATCTTGTTGACATTAATAAATGACAACAATAACGGAAACGTGATCGTGGATATTTCTAGTGACTTTGTTATCTCCGTTTTTTAAGCTTTGCTTTTTAAAGTTGTTGGAGTTAGTTAGACTGTTCAGTAAGTAGTATTCACATTTATGTAATGCTTTATTCTACAGATGTTGCAATTGATATGTACTTCTTTACTGCTGATTTCAGGAAAATTTGGTAAGAGCCATCTTATTTTATTGAAGCAACAATTACCGTTTTGTTTCTGTCAATTAAAAGTCAATCAATCAATGCTGCAATATAATTAGCAGGACTTGCATTTTACGGAATATTTAATTTCAAATTAGAAAAGAAACAGTTGACAGCCACTAGGTGTGTTTTGATACGAATGACATCAATGTCAAGACTTTAAAATCTATTTTTATCGGCTCATATAAATACAAATCTTTCTATTATAAAGTAGAAACAATCAATATGTCCGAATAGTCTCAAATGTTAATCATTTTCCGACCTTATTAACAATAATGCAAAATTCAAAATAATTAACAAAACATAGATTTTAAAAGCACTTAAATAAATATTGTCTTTTGGTTTCAGTGCAATCGTTCTGTCCAAAAGGTTGCAAGTGTGAAGCACATGGATATTGTTATGATTGTGAAATGGGATACTACATGATGCAGAATGAGACATGTTACAGTTGCTCTAAAGCTTGTCACTCTTGTTCCTCGGTACACAAATGTAAAAAATGTGACATTGGACATTATATAAACTCCTCATTCTCATGTCTTCCATGCTCCACTGGGTGTACATATTGTTTAACTTTAAATACATGTTTACAATGCAATACTGGGTATTTCAGAAACGGTTATATGTGCAATAAATGTACGTGGCCATGTAAAACGTGTACATTCGGACATAATTGCATTACATGTAATGACGGATTTAAATTAAACGGTACTTTTTGCCAAAAATGTCCAAAGGGTTATTTTGAATCCAGTAATTCATGTGCCCCGTGCCCAAATAATTGCGCTTCTTGTTTGATGATGAATGAATGTACACAATGTAAACAAGGAATTTTCGGAAAAACATGTGATCATAAGTGTTCTTTGGGATGTAAAGACAACGTGTGTGAACAAAACACTGGCAATTGCGTTTGCAAAGAAAATTATGCCGGAAACAATTGCAGTCTTTGTAAGCCTTCTAAATATGGACAATACTGTCACCGTGACTGTCCAAATGGATGTTTAACGTGTGATTCAGATGGAGGCTGTCTTGTGTGTCAGTCTCCTTACTTCGGAATAAAATGTATCTGTTCATATGGATGCCTTGACAACAAATGTAACAGATTTACAGGACAGTGCTTTCAATGTAAACCGTTCTTTAAATGGCCTTGTTTGAATTGTATAGACGGCAAATGGGGAAAGAACTGTGAAAACGATTGTCCTGATAAATGTATCTCGTGTTCATCAAAAAATAGCTGCACGAAATGTCAGGATGGAAACTATTTCTCAGATGGGAAATGTTTGGAATGTTCGATCAATTGTCAAAATAGATCATGTAATGCCGATAGTAGTTATTGTATCTTTGGATGCAAACCAGGTTATTGGGGAAAGTTTTGTATTGAGCAATGTCCCAAGCTTTGCTCAAACCGCACATGTAATATCGAAAATGGAGCTTGTAGTCACGGTTCCAATGATAGTAGCAATGGACATGACCAATCGTACGACAATAATTGTAGCACAACCTGCATTGATCGACAATGCGATTCGATAACGGGTAGATGTACTTTGGGATGCGAACCAGGATACTACGGGGACACATGCAAAAAACAATGCAGCAGTGAATGCCAAAACTTTGCATGTAATAGAGAAAAAGGCTCATGCAATATTGGTAAGATTTAATTCTTCAAATTATGTTAAATATTGCTATAAATTCGGTATATTGAATAACATATATTCAGCGAAGCAAACTAAGAAATTTGAAAAAAACTTTGATTTTGAAGAGGAATGTTCAAAGAATTGTTCATATTGCGACAGTGAAACAGGATATTGTCTTCAATGCAAACAAAATACTTTCTACGGATTATTCTGCAATCAATAATGCAGTGACACATACATTGACAGAGTATGTAGATTCGATTTGGGAAATGCGAATATGGTTGTATAACTGGATATTACGGAGAAAGTTGCCAAAACGTTTGCAGTAAATCTTGTTTTAAACAATTATGTAATAGAGAAACTGGTATATGTGATGCAGTTTTATCTGAAGATGCATCTTCTCAAGGTATAATCTCGATGATTTATGTTTGTACACTTATAAATTTAAACTGAATTATTGAACAATTTTATTAGCAAATTAAATTGATGGTAAGGTTCAAGTAACATGCTTAGTAAATTTACTGGTACTTAACTAATTACTTTTCTGTAATTCTTCATGAAAGTAATTAATACATGTGTTTTTTACTAATTCAATAACCTTATACGTAGGGACGAACTTCACGCATGAACTGTGAAAAGCTGGTAATGATCAAAATCAAAAATCGAAACGGCCCAATGTACCTTCTTTAATAAGCTCGTTCCTATTGTTTACTTAAACATTTATCATGACAGTTACATTAGTTTATTATATACCGTATAATATAAATAAGGTTAAATCAAAAAGAAAATGAAATTATACTTATGGCGTTTATTAAGTTGTACCGTTCAAAATTTCATTTTATGGTTTTCCACGTTTCTACATTATTAGGTAAGGAATGGCTTGTGTTGAAATCTGATGATGCCATGATTCTGGTGATATTCGTTGCTATAGTTGGAGTATATGCAATTGTTATGACTTTTGCCCTAATCAGACATCGGTAAAATACAATTTTATACTTTACATATTTTATAAAAGATACAAAGACAATCAAGTTAATTCAACATTAAAAACATTCCAAGATGAAAGCACACGTTCAGTTTATATATGAAATAACCATTTCCTAATGTATTTAATAACGAAACAATATTGTACGTTAAGGCTGCATGCCTTTAGATAAGCCAAAATGTTTCAAGAAAATCATACTTGAGGAAAATGTACAAAGATTTTCAGAGGAGTACAAGGAGTCAAGTAATAATGTACATGCTTTGTGTGATTAATGACTGATTTAGCAGCATTTGTCTGGCTGCGTTAATAACGTAGTAAGGACTTTTTTTTGCAAATTTTCACCACTTTTATTTGTTAATTTACGCGGATTTAATAGTCGTTTGCAATGTATGAATTACTTCAGATTTTACTTTTAAATTATAATATTTTGTTTTTAAAACCTTTTTCAAACTTGCCATGCAAAAAGCATGAAACTGGAGGCATGCTGCTTAAGATGTGTCAAAATATTTTTTTTCATCTTTAGTTGTCTTCATTGCCGGAAAGTTAGTTTGGACTATAAATTACACCGTCGTGACAAATTGAAATCCTTTAACTTCCATGAGAATCGTGTTTGACCTATATATTATTAGTTATAAAATTCAAAACAGCATGATAAGACCTAGTACAAACGGCTGTCAATATAAATAACCTGAGTCATTTTAACAATGCTATATGCCTTATCAAAGTATGCATAACGTATTCATAATACATGTACTTAGATTAAACAATAAATAATTTTATAAGTTTTTTATAATTATAATTATTATTTTTTTACCATCATTAAACAAAGACGTGAAGGTGAATTAAATGAAGACTCGGGAGATTTCGCTGAGAATGAATATGAACCTACAGCAAGTAGAAATGCAATCAACTCTGGTAATAATTAAAAATTGAACTTGAATATTTTTTACAAAATGTTGTATATTAACTGAAAATGCCAACATTTTACAGCAACATTAAAAAAAAGAAAATATAATGATTTTCGTTTTTATTTTTACATATACACTTGACATGTTGTAGTTGAAATGTTTTGAAACGTCTTCTGACGATTTTACTGTAACCATCAATGCATTGATATAACAGTTCAACCACAGATTAGTTTAACAAGTACAAAATGAACGGGTCCTGAAGATAACAGAAAACTGTTTCAATGATTAAACCATTGTTCAAAACATTTTAAACATTTGTCTTTTTGTATATATATGTATTATTAATACCAGTTAATGTCCTCATTGTCATCATTGCTCAACCTGTTTCAGAATATATCACGAAAATTAAACTATTTTTACGTTTATCTGTTGTTAACGGAAATTCATATGTATGTCTCATTCAGAAGAGTGTTAGACATTTTATTGTATGCTAGATGAGAGCGGAAAACAGCAATTCTACTTTCCAATAGAAACAAGTGTTGCTTTTACGTGTTAAGATGTAAAGCATTAATACATATTAAGATATATATTTGAACATATAAGTTTTCTTGAATTCAGACACTATTTGTACTCTAGGTCACGTGTGTAAACTTTTATTTTTTTCTATACAACCTTTTATTTAGTAGGAGAGATAAACCAATTTTGGCCTTTTAACCGCCACCAGTACAAATATGTAGATCTTGAGTGCTTATGTAATACGGAAGTGCTATGTTTGCAATATGTGTTTGTATATATTCCCCAGATCACATGTATGCTATACTGGAAGAAAGTACTAGTGATAGTGTGCCATTGGGTATCCTAGAAAACACTAACACGTTGCCTAGCAACAACTCAACCGAAGATAAGAATATGTATCTAAATCCTGTTTATGCTGATACCAAAACCACGAACGAATATGAGGAGGTTGTTTAACAAGACTGAACCAGTATTGTGCCTTCGTTCTATAGAAGCATGCATCTTTCATTTTGTTTTAAAAGGCACAAACAAATAAATTTCTACTTCTTTAGAAAGGGAAAACATAAATTTCATAATGTTTAAATAATGATTTTAAGCAATGTTAGATGCTGCTTGTTGCCAGAAGAAAATAGCAAGATAGCAAGAAATGTGAAAATATTTGCCTAGAAAGTAGCAAAATGTAAAGTTTGTAATTTGACTTCCGTAAAAAATCGAGCGGATGTATTGGCAAGCACGTTCTATGGACCTTAATCCTTTAGAATATGCCTGGGTCATTCTGCAGAGGCGACTTGCAGAAGCCCGGATTCCACAACCGTCACCAAGGATTGAGCTCGTCAACGGTCTTGTTCAGGAATGGACATTGATATCACTTGCCACACCACATCCGGACACTTATCAGGAGCTTTCCGACGCCTATTCAGATATTGACCATGACTAGGGGAAATCACACTCACTATTGAGGCAATATGTACGACAGAGAACTGACAATCTAAAAACTTATTGCCCAACCAATCACATGAAATCAATAAGCATTTTTGGTCAGAGTGAGATGGGTTAGATGGAATATCTGTGTTTTTGCGTTGAAATGTGTCAGTGAAAATTGGATTTGTTAATGCATAAACTTTATCAAATGTAAACGAATATGTTCATATTAAATATATATATTGTATGACCCTTATTTTGTTTTCATTATTGCAGATAATAAAATATTAAATAAATTATGAGTTTTGGAGGCGACAAAAATATTTATAATATGACCATTTCTTCAACTTCCAATACTATTCCGATAAGTTATTTTCAAGAAAATTTGCAGGAATTACATTGAACAAAATATTTATCAGCCCTTTCTTCTCCTGACACAGGCTATTTTACAGACCATTTCACACCGTGCATGCACACTTCTAGAATAACTGTGTTATGCGGGTCCCTGAACATCCTAGAAACCCCCTTCCAGCTGCGAGCTACACATGGAGAAAAGTTTCGTTGCCAGTTGTGGAAGGTTTGTTAACAAGCATGCCTCCATGCGTGAATATTCGATGAAACATGGTCACAAATTTTTATAAATATCCACAACCGTTGAACTAATCTGAGCAGTACCGAATTCTAGAAGCGTTGCATCTGGTCCAAGATTGGCGAGTCATTGTACATTTCATTACATTTACGAAAACTTATTTTCACTTATACAATCTCTTTTCTTCACACACCTTCAATCCCGTTAGCTTCGTTGATCCTTCATCTCTGTTTAAAAAGTTTTATCCGAGACCTATTCTTAACAATATATGTTTATATATTTTCTGCTTTATACCACTTTGTACGAAACTCGTCAATTTCATGCTTATTATTTGCATCATTTAATTGCCTTGCCCTTTTTCCCTAATAGATATTCATTGTTTATTTTGCCAGGATATCGACACGGATATATATAACACTATCAGAAATATAGATCAGAACAATTTAAATGTATTGCGCGTTTCGCTTTAATGTGATTATTGTAGAATGTGGTTACTCAAACACTTGAAAGACATGTAGCGGAATGAATGTCTTGTAATGGAAACGTTGGTTTACTAACATTGTAATATATTTTTTCCTCACAAAAGCAATTTAGTTTTCAACCATACAATTATTCAATTAGATACATATCAGTTTTACATTAATACTAACGATTCAAAAACTCGTATCGTGATAAACGATACCCGATAATATTTGAGTTTATCTTGGCCTATGATAGCATTATTGTCTTTTATATCGTATGATTTCAAAAGCAGAACACAAATAGACAGACTTATTTTCAACAAACTGTATATTTTGTTTCTTTACAAGCTATTCTTCAACTTAAAGTTTCCGTAGTTTTCATTATTGATCAATAATTAAATATCATGTTGCCATGAGTCGCATTGGGTCACCTACATTGTATAATGCGTACATGGTATGCTACATAAAGAACTTAGATAATAAAAGACAAAACTGACTTGAATTTTGTTGATTTTATACAGTGAATATTTTAGCTATAAAAACCTGTTCCATCATACATGAAATAGCAATTTCAACGAACAAATTACACAATATGAAATCAGCAATTTACAAAATGCATTAACTATGCATTACCAGAAACCCAAGGATCTGTTACAAATTTTGCATTGGGCTATACGATTGGTCAATTTTAAATTACAATTTGACCAAACATATTTTGCATTGGGTTATACGATTGGTCGATTTTAAATCTATCACATGCTGGTATTTTTAGTATTAATCATTATTGGCTGAATCTACGAGAGTAATGCCTTTTTTTCAAATGTTACGAACGAAAAAAATCTTGAATTAAAAAAGGAAGCACATTGAATTGTTTCTAAGCTTATTCCATCACCATTCTACACCTACTAACTGGCTATTCATTATGGAATATGGAGTGATCATTTGGAGTGCACATTGTAGAGTAAACTCATAGAAATGGGAAAACACTTGTGTTGATATTTGGCTCTGGTTTTGTATAGGGAATGTAAACAAGAGCTGTCCGTAAGACAGCGCGCTCGACTTTTTTAGTGCTTGCCTATAATACAAAACATTGACAGTTAAGGGCCATAATTCAAATAAAATCTTTGACAGAATTACCTTCTCCTGGACATGTTTGGGAATCATGATTGTAAACAAGTATTCCAACTTTCAAATTAATATCTCAAACAGTTCAGTCAAAAAGTGGACTGGTACTAAAAACTTAACCAAGATTCTAAGTCGATAAAAGGCCTTAATTTTTAAAACAAATCCTTGACAGAGTTACCTTCTCTTGCGTACAGATGGGGGTAATGATGTGAAATAGCATTAAAAGTTTCAAAGCAATATCTCAAAGGGTTAAGGCAATAAGTGGATTTTACCCATATTCAATGTATTTTCTAAGTCAAAAAGGGGCATAATTCTGTCAAAAACCTTGACAGAGTTATGTCCTCTTGTCTGTTGATGAAGGTCGTGATGGTAAACAAGTATGGTCAGTTTCAAAGCAATACCTCCAATGGTTTTGAAATAAAGTGAGGTGGTACTAAAAACTTAACCAAGATTCTAAGTCAATAAAAGGCCTTAATTTTTAAAACAAATCCTTGACAGAGTTACCTTCTCTTGCGTACAGATGGGGGTAATGATGTGAAATAGCATTAAAAGTTTCAAAGCAATATCTCAAAGGGTTAAGGCAATAAGTGGATTTTACCCATATTCAATGTATTTTCTAAGTCAAAAAGGGGCATAATTCTGTCAAAAACCTTGACAGAGTTATGTCCTCTTGTCTGTTGATGAAGGTCGTGATGGTAAACAAGTATGGTCAGTTTCAAAGCAATACCTCCAATGGTTTTGAAATAAAGTGAGGTGGTACAAAAAACTTAACCAAGCTCAATACACTTTCTAAGTCAAAAAAGGGCCATAATTCTGTCAAAAACCTTGACAGAGTTATGTACTCTTGTCTGTAGATGGAGGTTATGATGGTGAACAAGTATGGTAAGTTTCAAAGCCATACTTGTAATACTTCTGAAATAAAGTGGGGTGGTACGAAAAACTTAACCAAGGTGTGACGCCAACGCTAACGCCGACGCCGACGCCGGGGCGAGTAGGATAGCTCCCCTTTTCATAGAAAAGTCGAGCTAAAAAGGTCAGATCATTAGAATTCAAGGTAATAACTGATGAAGCTACTATTTTCTTTATATGGTACTCTTCAAAAATTTAGAAAACTCGAATTACCAGAAATTGTTACAAATAGTTACCGAGCAGTAGTGGTACATTGTATTTACTACTACTACATTCATCTATATTAAATGATTTCCATTATTATAATTAAAAGGTATGAAAAACTAAGTTTTGTGCTAACAATAATTAAAGTCACATTTTGATTGATCAAATATCTATTAAAGAAAAACTATTTTCAGCTCAGATCTACTCCAGACAAAAATAAATCAGGATAGACTGACCAAAATGGACACTTATCAATAAGCAGATGTTGTTATAACAACATTTATACAATTCATTACTTTTAATTTCTTGACTGAAACATTATTTTATATTTCTATGGCACTTATTACTTGTAGCCATCCATACATTCTCTACTATATTATTTCACTGTCTACCATTCAACAATCAGCTATCATTAAACAACCAGTCATTGTGAAGTTCAATGAACCCTACTTGGTACCTCATCCTCATTTTTTCAATTTTGCCTCCCCCTTTTTAATGCCTGACATTTGAATTGTCGAAAATAAATTTCATTAGGAAATGAAAATAAAAAGAAATATGTAAGACATACATAGAGGGACAATAAAGATCAATATATGGATAATGCTAGGGTATGCAGGTACATCTTTGTAAAAACGGTACAGTCTATCGAAATACGGGTGGACTTTGTTGACAGAACAAGTAACTATACAAAATATATGACATAACATGGTCTTTTGAGAAAAGTTTTGTGATTTTTTTCCGGATCAGTTTAATTACATTAAGTTAATTTAAACCGGCAAAATAATTTGAAAGTAAAAAAAAATATTGTATCATAATGCAAGAGCTGTCAATCACAGTATCCTTGATTGCTTTTTGTTCTTGCGATTAAAGGGGATTAATTCAGTAAAAACTCCATGCTAGATTTGTCTTGAACAGAGATCTTAACCTTCAGATGTAAATAAGAGTGAGCCAAAACCTTAACAATCACCAACTAGGATAGCATCATTATTTGTGGAATAGTGGAGCATAAATTAATGCTTATTCTGTCTATAAAAGTTTCTTCCATCCTACACATGCACATTCCGATCAAGGGACAAAATATTTGACGCCATCTTTTTTTTAAATTTATAAAACAACCAGAACTTGTATAATTCTTACTTGTAATTATTATTATAAAACTTTTGACACACATCTGTACATCACATTTGTACATCAGTAAAGCACATATCAACACAAAGACATTTTCATGAGTCACTTTACAATACAATGAACTATAATTCCTAACTTACTTTGTCATAAAGTACATGTTTAACAAAATTGAGTCTGCAAACCAGTCTGTCTCAGCTATCTTATAAACCATTGGTTAAATTACAATCTAAACATTGGAATCATCCAATCAAATGTTTTTGGAGGTATATTTTCAGACTGGTTAATTTCAGACTGGTTTAGTGTACTTTTACTGCTTTATTTAGAATCTTTATTTATTATGCAGTCAGTAAGCATATTACACAAACATCTATTTCATAAAGAAATCAAGAATTTTGAATAAACAATGGTTGTACAAAATTGATATAGACTTACATGAACATAGCTTCACTTACATGAATGATTCAGTGGTATCCATGCTTGAGTTATGAGACTTGGTCAGTGACCTACAATCATTACATGGAAGACATGGGAAAAGTTTAAAGTGAAATCCTTTTACAATGAAATTTTGTGTCATACCTATTTTATTTAAGAGTTACACCTACGCCTATCAGACTAATGCAAGCACTTAAGCTCTCTTTCCCTGGAACAGCCAGCTTAAAATAGATCACTTAAAATGAATTGTTTAAGACTCCTTGTCTATTGCAACAAACATATCAAACAATACCAATACAATTATGTCCGAACAATGGAAAAAATATGAAAGTCATCAAATAAATAATGAACATACAAAAACATGACTTTCTAACCTGATTAGTGGTTTGACTTTTCTTTAAACAATTACATTGCACAGTATTTATCTGCAATTTTTTTTAATTTCTATAAATATTTTTCTCACAAACAACAAAACAAATGAATAATGAATTATCATAGAAGTAGAATAATAGTTGTGTTTCCTTTTATAAGCACAATGAATGACAGACTTCCATGAATAAACAATGACTGATCTATTTTTATTCACAACAAAAATCCTTAAAGCAAGACAGTGTCCCCAGAGTCCTATACTTTTATACAATGAAAAGTGGAACTTATGACTATTTAACAATGAAAAATAACTTAATTTTCCTTCCCTTCGATCAAAATGACAGCTTACATGTATTTGAAATAAAAAGGTCTGATAAATGTACACACCACTACTAAGCACTTATATTAGCAAAATAGACTAACAAATATAATTTAGCACTCATAACCTGTATATAACCATTCCATTGCATAGGCATAAAAAAAAACCGGGAAATCATGCATGTATATGTATTGAAAAACATTTACAACTTTAATAAATTATAGGCTTTCTGCTCATGGTGGACTGGAAAAAAGGGAATTTTTTTACAACAGAAATGATGAGGACAAAGTACAGATTTGAAGAACTACTACAGAGTATGACAGGTAAAGAATAAAGGAGAACTAGAGAGAAGTGGACTGCTCTTAGTGATAGAATGGAAAATCACAGAAAATAACAGAAACGAAAATTGGTTGTGAGAGGGACCTATAATGCAGTTTACTTACAAAATATATAATACAATAAATTATTTTAACAAAACTGCTAGCACTATATCAGTATATCTGTGGCCAACCTGTATGGAAGAACTTTGATTTTATCTTATTCTTCAGCAATATGTTTTTTAATAAGTATTTAACATGTGTACCAAAACAAGCAAACACAAATCATTAACAAGATCAGTTTACATTCTCTGACTAAAATCTTTGTTTTCTGTAACACTTGTATTAGCCTACTAGCACTGGTTCAGAAAAGGGTCAATGTTCAGAATTTTTTTTAGAAATCCTGTACCTAGCACTTTAATGCCTAAAAAATCCATTCTTCAGAAAGGGCAAGCATGAGTTTTATAACTATTTTAACGCATGTGGGATTTCTTTTCACCTAAAGAAGGAAGAGCTGAATGTGACATTATTTGTCAAAAAGTAGCAAAATGTAAACAAAGTAGTATTTTGAGTTCCATACAAAATACTAGTTCACTAAGAAAGTACTAACTGCCAAAAGCAAAAGATTGTACAGCTAATTGGTAGTGCCAGATAAACCTACTTTGTATAAATAAAGCTAAGTAAAGATCTACAATATTTTCTACTTCTTATATGGCTTACATATTTATAATTTATGTGATGAACAAATAAAAAGAAAAAAAAGAAATACTGATGGTATTGCAAAGTGGACAGTCTGCTAAAACAAAAATGAATAAATATTGCCCAAGCTCTGACACAATAAACAAAATCCAAAATAAACCCAAATATTGGGCAATACAGAACGTTTAACAGAAACTTTATTTCAACAAGAAATCAAAATATAATATCACATTAAACTGGTTTCTTAGTGCAGCATTCAAAGCGTTTTACATCCACACCATAACCTTCAGGGAGATGATATTTGGCTAAAGAGTTACAGTAAAATGTCTCTAATCTCAGTCCAGGAAAACATTTCTTCATCGTACCCGAAGGTTCACAAAGTCCAACAGTGCTCTAAGTGAGGTATCACATGTCTATTAGATTAAGTAAGAGTTTCAGCTTTTGGCCATCATTTTGATCTTTTCTAGGCGTGCTTTCAGTTGTGAAACATTTGCTAGGTTAGACTGTGAAACTGCTGGCTGTTTATTGCTGTCATCTTCATTGCTATTATCTGGTTCATCTTCGGTGTCCTGTCACAGAGAAATGAAATTAATGAACATTTTATAAAGTAATAACATATTTCCATAGTTAAAGGGTATAAAGCAATATATCTGCTTCCGTATTTTACAAAAGAATTGTTTAATATTGGATAAAATTATTCAAAAGTACCTACACAAAAGAAAAATGCTTGTACACTCCCTTAAGAGTGAACAGGGCTTTTGTGAATTCATTGCAAAAAGTGTTAAACACTACTTGAAATAGCAGCATAATATTACTGTTTCGAGACATTTAATTTTGTTTTTCATAAAATTCATAAGTGTGTTAAATTACAGAGACATTCTGTGTTACTATGCAACTCTGTAGAGAATCAATAAAATTATAGACTCATCATAGCTTTACCAATTAAATATCTCATTTGATACATTTGTATAGCTTTATTCCCTCTAGATAAACAAAGGGTCAAATAAACATAACAGAGTAGTTTTTATATTTCAGTTCTCTTTAAATAAGACAATTTAATACAAATTTTTACACATTTTTGCCCCAATCATTTTTGACATACTTATATAAAGATTCCCTTAAAATTGTGTTAAAATAATTAAGTTTTTGCATTTCAGAGCATTTGACATATAAAGATCATATAGTTTTTATAACATATGACTAAAGAAAAACTCAAAAACTTTTTTTCTAGCAAAAGGTGTTCACTTTCCTTACAGACTAGCCAAACATCTTTATGCATGTAATTTCTGGGGAAGTTTTAAATATTTTTTAGTTTGGGTTTTACATCACACAAAAATTATGAAGGTCATATGGCGACTTCCCAGCTTTACCGGTGAAGGGAGACCTTAGGTGCCATTTAATGCATTATTTCCAGCATATACAGGCACCTGAGTAAAACCACCAACATTCTGTAAGCTAGCTGATGAAAAAAAATTTAGTCTCTGGAATGAATTTACAACTGTGAGAGGCTAACAACCTGAACCAACATTGTCACAGACGTACTTATGCAAAACTTTTATAAAGATAACATACATAAAAATATCAGAGACTGAAATATTTGGTACTAATTTGAAACCTCAGGTGCAATTTTGAATAATTAATACTGAGATTTTCTTAGCTTAATCATTAAACTTTATTTGTAAATTCCATTTTACTTTTCACACTAAGTTGATATTTATTATATAATTTTTAAAAAAAACAGGACTTTATAACTTAACGTCTTATCTAACCATATTACCAATATAAATGTACTATCGCACAGCATTTGAACTAATAGGAAGTTTAAGTAACATCTACACAACCTCAATCTCAAACCAACATTATATCTAGTCTACTGTCTTTATTTTACACAAGTCCTACAAAAGCAGTGTTAGATTTGCCAAATCTGTAAAAAGTCCTTATTTGGCTGTTTCCCAAAATTTCCATACTAGTATTTTTCCTAATGTATCAGTCATTTAATTATCTTGAAAGCAAAACAAGGGGCTGTATACTGAAGAATTTTCTAATTTTAAAAAGGGTCATAATTTGATTAAAGTTCATGCCTTGAACAGCGACATTTTATCATGCTCTCAAATAAGTGTGTGAAGTTTCAACCCATTCCCTTCAATAATTTTAGAGATACCAACTTACATTCAAAACTTAACTAAAGTGTGAAGCCGACGCCAGGGTGAGTACAATAGCTCTCGCCTTTCTTTGAATAGTCAAGCTTAAACACAATAAAGACACAAATGTTTGTGTCTGATCCTTCATATTATGAAAGGAAGGAAAATTCCTCAAGTTCTCAGCATTCTCTTATTGCATATTCAGTATTTGACCCAATGACACGTTACAAATCCTAATATCACAAAAACTGTATACAGGCCATTCTTCACTAGCTTCTCATATTAAATTAACTCATAAATAATGTTTGGCCAAGGTATGAGGTGCTTACCTCTCATATTTACTTTGAAATCTAAATTGATCAAAAACATACTTGTATTCAGGTATGACATACATCAGTGAAAAGAATTCCAAACGTGTTGGGTTTTCTTAGACAGTGAGAAGTTCACAAAATATATAAGAACTCATAAAAAAAACAGTCAATTTTTCAAACTATAAAACTTATTATCAGTTGGAAGTGGTAAAGAATCAAGCCTATCATCCGTGGAGTAAATAGTTACAGGTCAAACACTGTTAAAAGGTATATAAAAAACAGTACACTTTTACCTGAGTACATGTAACTTTTCTGAAGAGTACATCAAAATAGTTGATTTTAAAAATGTTAAAGAACTTCAATAAACCACAACACATCCATCAAGACAATATACAATAAAACATTCAATACATTTATACAGCCAAAAGAAGTTATACAAACTTATAAAGAACTCACTAATCTTACAAGAAAAATAAAATCAATTTCAATTTTTCTTCAAAAGTTATTTTTTTTTTAGTACAATTTCACTTTACATCAAAAGGTTTTATGTGACCAGTTTACAATTTTCAAAATCTTTGCTTTTATTGTCAAGGTAAATGACAAAACATGTTGGAAAAAATGATGCAAAAAGGTGTTAATACTCATCCCTTCATATAACCACTTCTGACAAAATTTTAAGTAAATAACTAAAAAGATATAGCTTTCACGATTATGCCCCTTGTATAATAACTGCACCAAGTCAAGGTAAGCAAGTATTCAAAGTTTCATGTTGGTAACTTTAAGAATGTTTGAGAAATGGGCTACATTAAAGTTACAGTGATGACGATGCAGCCATCATAATATCTCCCCCCCCCCCCCCAAAAAAAAAAAACAGACCAGCTAAAAATCACCCTTGCTAAGAAGGATATTTTCAAGCACCAAAAGAAGTCCCCATGAAAAAATCTTAGATTAAATTAATAATGTTTCTAAGAAACAAGTTGGAAAAGAGGGTAAAATCAAGAATTGGACTTTATTATAAATAATTTCAAAGAGAAAATAAAAGTTTTGGCCAGATAACTGGATAATGTTGTTACTTACTCTTGTAGGAGACAGTTCAGGAGATATGTCATCTTCTTGCTTCTCTGGGACACTCTGTATAAAACCAAACCACAATTATGTCAAACATAAATGCGTTTATCATTATAAAGAATCTCTGCCTTACAATGAACATGCTAAATTTAAAAATCTTTTAAAATACAACTACAGTCCACAGGTTTGAACCCCTACTCCTTCACTATAAACACATAATGGTCTTTCAAATGAAACCTGAAAGGTCTCATGTATTTATTAGTGCTTTTCACAGGGCATGCAAAAAGGACCGTGTCGCCTCTAGAACAAAGCAGTTTTGCATTATGCACCACGCCTTGAAATAACAAGAAACTGTTTTGGGTGTGCCACAATATGTGCAACCACCACACATGACACAAAATAAAATTTTGGTTTGAAAGTGTATTAAAAAAACTCAAATTCAATAACCATACAAGCCTCTTATCCAGAGGTCACATTTAGGCAGAAAAAAGCCTAACAGGAGTGTAAGGACTCCAAATTCCTCATCAAAATGTTTCTACTAAATATGATTTGAACCAAATCATAACGGGTTACCTTAACAGTATCTGGTTCTTCCAGCCCACACTTTGCGCGTAGTTGCCGTAATTTCTCCATGTAATATTTTGGATCTGTGGACTCAGTTTGTACACTAGACTGTAATAAGAAAATCAAACACTTAGCTTCCTTATTTTTTTCCTATCAGCAACAAATTTTTTTTTCAACAAAGGATATATCAAATATTTTTGTCTTTTTTGAATGAGAAAAGGTTGTTTAAGCTTCAACAAAGATACTGTGCTCAGCATTTAAAATTACAATGAAAAAGTAGTGGGTCAAAACTTGAATTAATATACACATTTTATAAAGGGAAATAACTATCTTAGTAAAAAAAAAGACTTTTTTTTCTGAAATGTATTCCAACAGATAATAATTGAGCAGCGTCATGACAAAACCAACATAATGGGTTTGCGACCAGCATGGATCCAGACCAGCCTGCGCATCCGCGCAGTCTGATCAGGATTCATGCTGTTCGCTTACGAACAATATAACAAGACGAGAAACTGATAGTGAACAGCATGAATCCTGATCAGACTGCGCAGGCTGGTCAGGATCCATGCTGGTCGCAAACCCATTATGTTGGTTTTGTCATGACGCGACTCAATTAAATGTAACACTTACCTTGGTAGCTGGGTCGATACCTAGTTTTTCTTTACTGATTTTGGCTGTTCTTTCTAAATAGTAATCACCATCACTACCATCATCTGTGACTCTTGTTCCACCATCTGTTCAGAGATTTCATATACAGTTAATAGGCTACAATAACTATGATGATATCTAAGTAATATTATACAATGTAAAATTAGTAAGAATTTACAAAGGTTCTAATGATTCCAACTAATCATGCATACCAGAGTAAGATAATACAATATTTAAAACAAGAGCCATGTCAACATGGCCATCCCCCGCCGAATGTGTTTGCTTATTGGAAGAATGTATATGTAGTAGAACAGAATAATTCAATTTTAAGAGGACTTTTGGTAATGAAAACTGATGGCTGAAGTGATTACAGATTTGAAACCTATGTAAATACTGATGGCAAAAAATAACAAAGGGCAATTACTGAAAAATAATGCAGGGTAGGATATCATTCTTGTGCACTGCACCCCCCATCAATGAGATCTATCCACTTATGAAGTTTCAAGTTGATAACTCAAATACTTTTTGAGATATGCTCTGGACAAAAATGTCGGACGGAGGTCCGAAAGGACGGACGGATGAAGACTATTTCTATACCTCCGCCTCCTTTCGGCGGGTGATAATTAGTTAGAGTTAAAGGCTCCTGCTCACACTTCTCATAGGTCAGACCATTTGATTAATACCAACCTGTTCCTAAATAAATAATTAAAACATCCGCTGAGGAACTATTGAGGAAAACCATCTGATTGTTTTGTCATTTTTATCAGCCTACATCAAAACAGTTAACAACAAGTGCTTGCAACTTGCAAGTAAGCAAACACAACAGCTCAGCAATAGAAAGAAGCCTATAAATTGTTGGCAAAGCTAGTCCAAAACCATCACAATAAATCATAAACACTTCCAAATTAATTTAATATCTCACCTATTTTTCCTTCTGACTGCTCTCTCTCCTCATTCTCGATAGTTTTTAAACCTCTTTCGATGTAATTTTGGAAAAAGTGGGAACATTTCTTCAAGAATGGCTCTATATCGGCATCAGGGAATTTCATTTTGAAGTCGTACAAATCTCTCATGCCCTGTTTTGTGTTCTCTTTTGAACCAACCTTCTTAAATATCTCAGTGAGCATATCATGTGTAGTTTTAGACAACCGTTTTGATTTGGAAGCGCTCTGCAAGATGATAAAGATAATGTTACGTACTGTAAAGTTCATTGTCCATAAAGATTACCTTAGATCAAATGCAAAAGTGTTGCAGTAACATTGTCAGGATCTTGATATGTGAGAAGTAATAATAAAATTTAAAATAGTCTCTGGGACATGAAAAATAATCAAGACAGACTGCTAAGAAAATGATTTAAAATTAGAATGAAACCCATTAAAGGCATATCACTAATTACAGGTTTGGAGTTTTTCAGAAAGTTAACCTTTAATGAATATGTAAGATTTTTTTTTTTTAATTGTAAATGTAAGTTTTGTTTGTTTGTTTTGGGTTTTACGTCACATCGACACAGTATAGGTCATATCGCGACGTTCCAGCTTTACTGGTGGAGGAAGACCTCAGGTGCCCTTCCGTGCATTATTTCAGGCACGAACGGGCACCTGAGTAGAACCACCGACGTTCCGTAAGCTAGCTGGATAGCTTCCTCACATGAAAGAATCCAAAGTCCCTGTCGGGATTCGAACCCACAGCGGTGAAGGGCAAGTGAAGTCAACGACCTTAACCACTCGGCCACGGACGCCCCCATAAATGTAAGTATTAAGGTAAAACAATGACTTCTATTATATTTACCCTGGAAGTTTTATTGTCCTCCGTCATTCCATTAACCTCACCCTCGACAGGTAAATTACCCTCGTTCTTGAGGACCTTCTGAATGTATGTTTTCACCTCCGACACTTCACCGGCATCTATCTGACCCAAGTGACTTAGAATCTGTCCAATGAAACAACATTCCTTCATTAAACAATTTCATAACTTCAAAATAAACAAAGATATTTCCTGCAATATCTTTACAGCTCAATAATGTTTAGAAACCTAGACTGGAAATCATGTGACTAACTGAAAATAATTTAAGCCTATAGCCTATATAAAATGGATATAATTTCTATAGTGAAGCACACATCATTTTATAAGCTACTAAAATTGGAGAACTCCTGAATGATGTCATCATCACTTTTTTAACCCTGCATTTTCAGTACACACTAGACACTTATCTTTACTTATTTGTAAGGTTAACAATCTTCCTCTTATAACTGGAAGAGCCTTCTAAAAAGGCAAACACCCCACTTTTTAAAAGCCTCCCCCCTTTTTTTGAGAAATGAACTAAGGGTTTTCTGCTGGGTCCTTACAAAAGGATTAACTGACACCAGTTTTGAGGTTACAACAATAGTTCAACTTCTTTAACTTCAAAAAAAGATATATGAGCGCGTCACGACAAAACCAACATAATGGGTTTGCGACCAGCATGGATCCAGACCAGCCTGCGAATTCGCGCAGTCTGATCAGGATCCATGCTGTTCGTTTAGAAACCCTATTACAAGTAGAGAAACCGATAACGAACAGCATGGATCCTGATCAGACTGCGCGTAGGCGCAGGCTGGTCTGGATCAATGCTGGTCGCAAACCCACTATGTTGGTTTTGTCATAACGCGGCTCAATTATAAAGAATACCAATTTCTATTTATTTTTACTTTACCATTCCCTTAGAACTTCAGAGATTTCAAACTAACTTTGAAAATAGAATTTAACATACAATGTTTAACAGAAGATTAAGTATCATTGATTACCTTTGAACCTTTCAATTTGGTCATGGAATGTAGGATAGTTTTGGTAGTACGTAATGGCAGGTCATCTCCACGTTCCTTCCACGTATGAGATGGGAAAGTGCGAAGAAACATGTGAATATCGTATAGCACTCTATCCAGATTTAACTCTTTGATTGTTTCTGGTAACATGCGAACTATTTTCCAAAGGCACTGAAACAAAAAAGTAATACAATGTAATATATCTGAATGAAAGAGGGGTTGGTTAAACTCAATTTTTTCTTATCTAAACAAAAGAGGGTTTAGTTAAACTTTACAAACTAAAATTGCTTTAACAAGTGCAGAATGAAACACATCAAGGAATGCTTTCCACAACTTTTATCAGTGTCTCAGAAAAATAACAAAAGAAGTCTAGGTCTTCAACCAAGTCATCTGACAATATGAGCTGTATTTAGAATTCCAACTTATATAAGCAAGGTCAGTATTTAGCATGTACTTCCAAATAATTAACAAGATGTTCATATTTCGAAATATTTTATCACATAGTAAAAAAGACCTATGGCAGTTTTCCAGGTAATGAAGTCATAGGAATTCATCACTGATTGGAAGAAACACATGAAAACCTTTATAAAAATACCCTTAACCAATGTATGAACAAAACAAGATAATAATAATCAAAACACATTAGTAAGTACCTTCATGATAAGTTCAATAAATTTTTTGCTACAGGTTTGACTATCTACACAGTCTTGAAGAAGTCGGATCAGGGCACTGGAAAATACAACATACATAAATTTTAAGATTAACTTTGTTTCTCTCATATCCATGTGAGGTATGGATATATTGAATATCAAAAAGGAAGATAATGCTCTATCAATAAAGGTGGTCTATCAATAAAGGTGGTAAGGAAAACGATACAAGTGACATATCACAAAATCTTATTATATAAAATTAAATACTTGATCAAAACATCATCCATGAACATTGACATTCAGAAGTACAAGCAGTTACTATATATAACTCTTTGTTGGTGGTTGATCGTCCAAGCCTGCTTTCCTGGATAACTAACCAATTTCTCTCCAAGTGAGCGACTACTTATCCCACTTGATTTCTGCATCAACCGTGAGAGGCAAAGAACCATCTTTTGATGGACTATCATTAACTTCAACAATAACAAATAGCTATATCCATCCCATTGCTCGATATAATTTTGGTGATAATTTTTTTCATACCATAAAACATTAGTCTGATCTGACTTCTCCACTATTTTCACAACAAGCACGTTGACTGATCGTACAACTTGCGGACCTTCCTCTAATTCCATCAACCTATTGTCCAGTAGCATTGTGACAAGATTATATATCAACTCCTTCAGGATATCTTTAGAGGCATGGGTGGCAAGAAATGAATTCATGAACAACTGAAAACAACAATAAAAATCTTATCAAAATAAAGAAATCACAATATTTGGAAGTTATCAATTCTTTAGGCCAAAATTTAAACCTCTGACCTCTAAAACTCGAGCTTACTTACATTAACAGATAAGCAGGCTTGACTGGCCCTAAACTGTTTGCAAAGGCTTGTCATTTTAGCTTCCAGCCGGTTAAAGGTTAAAAGAAATCATTCTGTAATCTCTAATTATGACAATCTGTAGTGTAATTCAATTAACATAATAAAATTCACCAGCCAGATAGGTTGAAATTGTACAGCTTGCAATAATACATTGATTATTCGTAGATGTGTGACCCATTTTAATAAATAATTCATCCCCGCCATCTTGATCTGTCTTAAGAAAGCATAACCAGTTAATTTCTGATAATGAAATTAACAGCTGAATTTACTGACTGCCAAAGATAATATCAGAGAAGTAGTCCCGAAGTATAAATAAGTTTTGACTCCGCCCACTTTCATATTTATTTCTCATATCTCTTTTCTTTTATTTTTTAAGGTATTACCATCCTAATGCCTTACCTCCGCTTTGAAGAGTATTCAAATAGGCTAGAACTACTGTTAACTACATTGAAACTGAGGGCCATGGGTTCAAACCTCAGATGGGTCAACTTTTTTTTTTTTTTCTTTTTTTTCTTTTAACATTATTTATGTATCTCTCCATCCATTTTGGGTAGAAAAAGTGTGTTTTTTTATTATTTAATTTATATAGGTATTTATTGGCTAAATAATGCTAAATCTAGTAATAAATATGGTACCTGATATTTTCAAAGTGTAATAAAATCAAAACTAGACAGTAAAAGTATTTAATATTTTACAAGATCAACCAAAATACTTTTTTAAAAATTTAGGGAGACTTTGAAAACAGGCACTCATTTGGGTAAATTTTAAGGATTTTTTAAATTAGGCTCCCTAAGTAGGAAAATGGTCAAACACATATTAAAAATGGGTGGGGTAGGGTAACATTTTTATACATATTTTATAAATTTTGAGTAGAAACCATAATTTTGTTTATGTTGATAATTAGCTGAATAGTACTATTTGTTTCTTACCAAAAATTAATGGGAAAACGTTTTTCATTAGAATGATATAATTGCAGATTATTTAAAGGTTACTCATTTCTGAAAAAGGGCCCTCATACAACCTTGCTTCAGTTCATAAAGATGGCCATAACTCGAATTCCGTACGGTAAAGTTTGTTTAAATTTTGCATACAAGTGTACTTTAAGGTAAATATCTGACCTATGATATAAATTTTTCAGTTCCTTATAGTGCCTGTTAGGGTGGTAATACCTTGACTGACATAGCATCATATTTCATGGGTAACATTAAATAGGTAATACATCAACTTCCAACAACCTAAGAACTAGATCAGGAAAGCCATTCTTAAAATGTTTGCAATTACTCCTCTAATTTCTTAAGAGATATAGCTTCACTATATAGAACGTACTGAGAGAAGAGTTCCAAGTAAACATCTGTATAACCGTATCACATCTTCTTTAGCAGTATCCTCGTCTCCCATGTGCGTAGAGTAGGCCATTTTAAACTGCATTGACATTGCTACAAGTAACTGTTCTACATGATCCTCCATAACAGCCACCTTGTCTTGATCCTTCAACACCTCATCAATCTAAAACCAAGCAATATATACACATATTTGTAAATTCTAACAAGGTAAGCCATCGTAAAAGTTTTTCATTAGCTCACCAGTTAATCTATCTGTAATTATATCCACTACAGCAGTACATACAGCCTAATATGTCTAGAAATGTGTGTATAAATAAGAAATGGTTTAGCTTGGCAAACTTCAAATTTTACTCATGACAGTTTGTTAATTGCAACAATGTCTAAATTTCTATGTCAAATCTAAGGCAAAACCTTAAGAAAGCTACAAAATAAAATAGTTATCACTATTGATATTTGCAATACAAGTGAACGAACAATGAATATATTTACTGTGAATTTCCAACATTAACACTAATAAAAAAATTAGATCTTTTTGTTTCCTGATTTTTTATAAAGCAATACTACAGAGGCACAATTTAACAATAGCATTAAGCAATAAGGAATATAATTAGCTGATTTCACAATATTGAGCCTGCATTTAAAAGCTAAAATAAAACACAGTCTAGAGAACTTACTTGTGCTAAAGCTTGAACACAGGTGGAAATATCCCTGCTGGTAATCTGAGAGATGACAAAGCTAACAGTGTTCGAGGTATCTGCTTGT